CTTTGTAGACAAATTACGTCTCTGATACTTGTGTGCAGGAGGTGATACCCTAGGGCTAGGGCTACAAACCTAAATTTCCCTCCTTTTTTTTTTTTCCTTTTCCTCTCCAAATTTCATGTGTCGTCTCACAGATTAGCAGATTTCCATCAAGTGCTCTTGAGTCTTCTGGATCAAGATGTCATTGCCCCAGTTCCTGTGGTAGAACAGTTTCAAGGGTTTTTTGCTTCAACTTTTTCACTGTTTCAGTACCCAAAGGAGGCATTTGACCCACCTTGGTTTTGAATGTCTATAGAAATTAAGCTTGGAAGCCACCATATTTGTCATCACCCCCCTTCACCAGGGAGTCTTTCTGGCTTCTATTGATATCAAAAATGTCTTCCTGGATGTCCCTATCTTTCCAGCACACCTTTGTTTTCTACAGTTTGCTGTGGGGCCCCTACACTTCCAGTTCATGACTGCCCTTTGGCCCCTCTCTGCCCCTTGGTTTATTCACCAAGGTGCTAGCCCAAGAGTCAGCCCTGCTGCACTCTCAAGGCATCCGCATTGTGGGATACTTAGATGACCCCTTGTTGAAGGAACGGTCAGCGCCAGGTCTGTCAAAGTAACTTTGACTGTCCAGAAGTTACAGTGGTTTGGGTAGATCCTGGACTTTCATAAATAGTTGCCAGAACCAAATCTTTTAGAGTATTTGGTTCCAATACTAGACATAGTTCAGGCCTTAGTGTTCCTTCCATAATGGTAACTTTAGAGTCTCTGGTCTCAGATTGAAGCTCTTGTTTCCAGGAGTCGCCTGACTCTTCTTTTGCATTAGGGTCCTGGGCTTGATGGTAGCCTCATTTGAGGCATTTCCATTTGTTAAAATTTACTCTAGACCTCTACAACGCAACATTCTGTCTTAATAGGACATGTAAGACAGGTCCCTGGACAGACCTGCTCTCTTGGCACCAAAGACAAGGTTGTCTCTGGCTTGCCGGCTCTGGAATTTTGGAAGGCCTTCTTTCGCCTCTTTTGGAGGATATTTATAATGGATACCAGCTTGTCCAACTGGGGAGGAGTCCCTGCCATCCTGTCACTGCAGAAAACTTTGTTGTTGGAGTCCCTAATCAATATCCTGGAGCTTGAGGCAGTTTTGCTCTCTGCAGGATTGGACCATCCTTCTGGAACACCATCCAATCCAAATCCAAATTCAGTCACAATTTTGAGTGCATCATCCATGAGGGAGAAATCTGAACTTCCTGTTCCTTATACTTGGAAGTGTTGCGGGACTGGGATCAAATTTGTGGGGGGGGGGGCACAAGATGTGGACCCCCAGGTCCCACAGTAAACTGAACAAATTTATCTTCAGGTACAGGAATCCTTTGGAAGAAGCAGTAGATGCTCTGGTAACTGCATGGGATCAACACACCCTGATCTGTGTTTCCTCCCCTGAAGCTCTGTTATCAGACTGCTTTGCAGGATTGAGATGAAGGACCTTCCGAGGATCCTCATCAGATCAGGTAGACGTGGTAAGCTGGCCTGATTTTACCATTCTTCTTCATGGTCGCTGGCATTAGTGGCATGACTGTTGTAGCCCAGGATCTGAGGGGCAGAGACATATTTGAATCTGTGCTTCCTACAATGCTAAAAGCAACAAAGGCTACTACCTACAAATGCTACCATTTATTGTGGAAGGCGTACTTCACTTGGTGTGAGTCTCAAGACTTCCACCTCAGAAGATTCTCCTTTGGGATGAATTATATTTTTCTTCATGTTGGCCTGGACCAGCATTTGACTTTCACGGGTCAGGTTCCTGTGCTATCAATTTAGAGTCTGTTGACCTTTCTCTTTCCTTGAACCTTTGTACAGGGCGTCTCATGTAGTTCCCCCAATCTATTCCTTTGTGGTTCTGTGCAATCAGAACCTGGTTTTCTCAGCACTTCAGAAACTGCTATTTGAGTCTACTCGACGCATTACTTTCTCTACTCTCACCCATAAGGTAGTGTTCCTTGTTAACCATCACCTCTGAGGCAAATGTCTGAACTGGTGGAAAGAAATATTTTCTTTAAGTAGTTCTGGATAGTGGGGAGTAGTTAAAAAATAAATAAATAATAATAAATAAATAAAAAATCTGTTTTTTTTTTTGTTTTTTTTTTGTTTTTTTTTTTTTTTTCTGTCTGTGCTCCTCCTGAGAAGAATCTCACACTATTTGTCGTGTTTACTGTTATTGCCGAGAGCAAAAATAGAGGAAAATCCCCATTTTGTGTTGTCATCAGAACAGAAATAGAGAGTAAATCTTCCATTGGGGAAGCTAGATCTGCTGACCCTGGTAGCAACCTCTGTGGGCTTGGCCAGCTTAAGCTAAAATAAAAACACCACAGTTCTTCCCTTCAGAGGTCTGATATTGACAGTCCAGACCCTTTTCCCCTACTGGAGTCAGCAGTCTATCTGGTGTGTCCTCCTCCTTATCCATGGAAGTGTTCTGTACAGCTATTTCACAGTTTGTAGGGAAAGTTTAAGCCTGACTAGTTGACTCACAATGTAGGAGTGCTTTGCAATCGTGCTCCTGTGCCACCTTTTTCAAAATCTGATTTTCCTAGAACTGCAGCTGCTGCAGCACAGTTGGGATGCAAAGCGGAGAGTACACTCTCAAGGTTACCATTTAGGTCCTTGTGGATGCAGTTTACTCATGCTTAGACCTGGAGCAACCTGCATACTCTACCCCAAAAGTTACCAGCCTGAGTTCCCATAGCAGTCCATAACCAGCAAAAACTTACCTTGTACACTTGCTCCTACTCCCTGTGTTGTACAAGAATTGGCCTAACCCTATAAAGTCTCAACTCCTCCCAGCGTTTCTAATCGACGAGGGTTTCCTTAGAAAGTGGCTCGTCCCTGTAGTGAATCCAGCCAATTCCTGCTTTAATAAAGCTCTGCTGTCCCTATGAAGTACTTCTCGGCTTTTTAAAGCAGGATTAAACTCACCAATTTAATGGTTTCACAAAACCGTTAAATTCAAGGTATGCCTATGACCACATGCAACACTAAGACAATTGCAGGTTGGAGGCTAAGATGGCAGCTTCCTTGGCTGTAAAAAGTTACGCTCCACTCTAAAGATTCTGTGGATAAATGCATTGAGCACCCTATCTAAGGCTCTGTCTGCTTCCATAGGCCCTACTCTGCAACCTACTGTTGTGGCCATGTCCATATGTCGGTCCTTAAGCATGTGGCTTAAGAATATGGCTAAGGATTCTTGTTCTGTCCTAATGGATCATTCGGTTCTCCAACAGTTGGAACGTATGTTAACAGCCTTGCTTTACTGTGCGGAGTGGCTAGTGGATGTTGTGCGCCTAGTACCCACATGGGTCTCCGTGCAGTGAACATGTGAAGGACCCTTTGGCTCAAGTATTGGACTGCAGAACAGCTATGCAAGATGTATTTACTGCACATACCTTTTGATGGAGAATGCTTTGGCGCACCCCCAGGATCTTTTATTAAGGAAATCACCAGGGGAAGAGCCCTCTTGGCAAGAAAAAAAATGCTAAGCTTCAGTCATCAAACCCTCTTCTTCAGAATCTTAAGAAGAGCTCCTTTCATTTTTCTGAGGCCTCTAAAGGCCTTTGCAACCAATTGGTCCCAGGGCATTTCAGAAACCTGGGTCTGAAGTGTGGTGTCTAGGGTTAGAAACTTGGAATTTAATCTGTACCTTTTTGCCTTGCTTCATGTTGTTCAACCTTCCATTATTCCTGCAAAAACTTTATGGACATATGTGCTGCCTTGTCACAGCTCTTGAGTGAAGATGCAATAACCCTGCTCCAGGAGGAGCTATAGTTTCAGATCTTCCACTCAAAACTGTTCACCGTTCCAAAAGCCACAGGGCATTCCCCACATTCTGGACCTAGAGGTTTGCCATACATTTCTTTGCATGCACAAATTCTGCATGGAATTTGTGATGTTAGTCATTGTTTTCATTCAGCTTGTTGACATCAAGGAGAAAAGAAAAAAAAGATAAAATTAATGTGGACTATTGGTCATAGAAACCAAATTGATTATCTGTGTTTTTGTTTTTTGCACTGAAGCTTACAGTCTGGTCACTGCAGGCTTCAGCGTAATCTGATAAATAACATTTTTGGTAGATGTTGGCCCCAGTGATATTTTTTTTGCCCTTCTCAGCAGTTCATACAACAGCTACTATGTGTGGACTTTTTTTAAGCTTTTGGTGGTTTCAATTTATAATGCTTTACTTTTGCTTAGCCAGCCCTGGCATCTGTTTATCAGTGGAAGCTGATTCTCAGCTCCTAGTCTTTGACAGCATGGAAAATTATTTAAAGCCCCACTCTGGGCAAAAACAAACTTTTAACTATACCCTCCCATCTGCCTCTAGTTTTTTTTTTTTTTTTTTTCCCTGCTTACTTGAGTGTAGATATACTCACTGGTCCAGGTCCCTCACTGCTGCTGAATCCAGTGTGGGGAAAGAGGGGCACTGCTGATCCAGCATTTTGCTGGCACCCCGAGACCACTGGTCCCCTGTTATCTCCCTGTGATGTCATCCTCATCTCTTTCCTGGGAGGACCCCATCCAACAGGGAGTGTCCACTTCTCACAGGCAGTTACTTGGGCACCTGAATAAGGACCGTTCGAGGAAGTAAACAGAAAAAAAGGTCTACAATATCACATGATCAAGGCCTCGGGTAAGTTAAATAGAACATTTAGCTAGTGCCTATTTTTTTCTCTTTTTTATGATCAATTAAAGTGATTAAGTTGGAGGGGGGTAGGTATTTTTTCCCCGGGGGGCTTTAAAACCTTCTTTTTTTTTTTTTTTTTTTTTTTTATTTCTATTTCTAAATGTGTAAATGAGTTGTTTGTCATTGTTGTGCTGAAATTGGGTATGTGTTTTACATAGTGAGTAGCAGCAAGTGAGATACTCTGCATTAGAAGATCCACCCAAAATAATCTGTTTTTAATTCTTATAATATAGCTCTGTCAATGCCCATAAAAAGCAAACGCTCCGATGTGTTTCTATTTTAGGTGTGGTTGGAGCCTCTAAAATTTGTGTGCAAGCAGCTGCGCAGTAAGTTGACTTATTGTTTTGTTTGTTTGATGGGTGTGTAGATTTGTCACAACTTTCATAAACGTTTGCAATGCCTATATAGCTTTACATGATGGAAAGGGAAGGATTGTGATATTATAAAATTGACTTTACACCTCCTAATATAAACAAATTGCAGTGTGATTGTTTTGCAAATAGTTAATTTAAAACCCGCAGAAAGCTTGTGATAAACTTTCGATTTCATTCGGTATATTTTGGTGTTCTACATAAAGGGTCACAATTGCTTGCCGCATTCACTCTGTTTTTGATGCTCTTTTATGAACAGTTTGGGTTAATTCAATAAGGCCATGACAAATACAGGGATGCAGTGTACAGTAAACCTTGGCAACTGGAATGGTTTATTTTTCAATATGGTTTATAATGAGCATTTCGATCACTAAAGGCATTCTGAATGTTTTCCTGGATTACTGCACATTTTGTACTTTTCCAATAGGCTGGTATATATAGTAAGCTCACACAAAACCTATGCTTCTTTTTTCGGGGAATGTCATAGGTTTAACCATCTAGTGGGTTCCTTTCAGATCTCACTTAAATGAGTGTGACCTGTTTTCAGCTGAGGGGGGGGGGGGGGGCGAAACAGAGCGTCACTGCTCTCTGCTCAGAGTGGCTGTGAGAACTCAGCGGTCATGTAATAGCTGTTCTCATATTTAGAGCCGGCCGGGGACTGATGCTGCATCAACCTAGGTAAGTATAATTTGAGGAAAAAAAAGGGAAAGCCATACTTCTCTTTTAAAGAGTTTATAATGTCTGTGAAGCTTAAAAAAACTTTGTGTGTATTTACAGAACCGAAAAAACTCTAAAATGCGTCTGGCTGTAAAGTTTTTTCCCCCTGACCCTGGTCAGCTGCAGGAGGAGTACACAAGGTTAGATCTCAGAGTGTGTGCAAGATATTCCAGTGTCCTCCACATGTGACTGTGTTATAATCTATGTTCTATAATCTGTTTGCTTTAGGTACCTTTTTGCTATGCAGATCAAGAGGGACCTTGCAGAGGAGAGGCTTGTGTGCAGTGATAATACTACGGCTCTACTTATTTCTCTTCTCTTGCAGTGTGAGTATTTTACTTGTAAGGTGTGGACTCTTACTATAATCTAGGATACACCCTTAGTCAATAAGGGAAGCCTGTCTCAGCTCTTTGTAAAATGCATGCTGATGCTGGAGAAAGTTTGAATGCAACCATAGTGCACAACAGGCTTCACATATGAACTTGTGTGCATTTCCAGGAACAATCATTTTATATTTTCCCTTCCTATTTTTAGTAAAACTTTAAAAATCAAAGAAGAATCTGGCTCGTTGCTGTGGGCAGCACATTGATACTTTCATATACACTGTATTGCCAAAAGTATTGGGACACACCCCTGCAAATCATTGGATTCGGGTGTTCCACTTCTACAAACATTTGTAAAAGAATGGGTCGCTCTCAGGAGCTCCATGAATTCAAGCGTGGGTACCGTGATAGGTTGCCACCTGTGCAATAAGGCCATGTAAAATGACAGCGTATGCTGAAGTCGCCAACTGTCTGCAGAGTCAATAGCTAAAGACCTCTAAACTTCATGTGGCCTTTGGATTAGCACAACAACAGTGCTTCGAGAGCATCATGGAATGGGTTTCTATGGCAAAGCAGCTGCATCTAAGCCTTACATCACCAAGTGCAATGCAAAGCGTCGGATGCAGTGGTGTAACGCACGCCACCAGTGGAGACGTGTTCTCTGGAGTGGTGAATCGCACTTCTCTGTCTGAAAATCCGATGGGTGTGTCTGGGTTTGGCAGTTGCCAGAATACTTGCCTGACTGCATTGTGCCATGTGTAAAGTTTGGTGGAAGGGGCAATTTATGGTGTGGGGTTTGTTTTTAGGGGTTGAGCTTGGCCCCCTTAGTTCCAGTGAAGGGAACTCTTAAAGCGTCGGCATACCAAGACATTTTGAACAATTTCACGCTCCCATCTTTGTGGGAACATTTGGGGGATGGCCCCTTCCTTTTCCAACATGACTGCACCCCAGTGCTTAAAGCAAGGTCCATAAAGACATGGATGAGCGAGTTTGGGGGGGGGGGAACTTGACTGGCCTGTACAGAGTCCTGACCTCAACCCGATAGAACACCTTGGGGATAAATTAGAGCGGAGGCTGCAAGCCAGGCCTTCTCATCCAACAACAGTGCCTGACCTCACAAATGCGCTTCTGGAAGAATGGTCAAATATTCCCATAGAGACACTAAACCTTGTGGACAGCCTTCCCAGAAGAGTTGAAGCTGTTATAGCTGCAAAGGGTGTGCCAACTCAATATTGAACCCTATGGACTAAGACTGGGATGCCATCAGGGGCGGACTGACCATTTGGAAATTCGGGCACTGCCCGAGGGGCCCGGGGTCAGTAGGGGGCCCCATGAGATGCCCCTGGTACCTTTTTTTCATAGTCTTTTTTGAGTTTGGGCAAGGACACAGGGGCCCCATGATCCCGTTTCCCGGGGGCTCCATGAGTTGTCAGTCCGCCCCTGGATGCCATTAAAGTTCATGTGCGTGTAAAGGCAGACGTCCCAATACTTTTGGCAATATAGTGTATGTGGCAACATAAACTTCAGAAAAGAGTGACTGTGATACAGAAGCTTTTGTCTTCTTTTGTGCTTTAGGCGAAGCAAACATTATCATTAAGTGGCAGGAAACAGCCAACTTTCAGGTACTGTGCACAGCAGTCTGTCCAACAGAAGCTGGCCTAACAACCGGCTTTTGTTGAAGGAACATGCTGGAAAACCAGCATCCAGTCAGAACTTGCAGCCAATGGGGGAGTCCACCTTGCAGAATGCAATAGCACAATGGGGGAGAACATTGCACCAATATCGCTTGTGTTGGTACAGTTCTGTCAGGTTTTTGTTTTGTTTTTTTGTTTAGCCCACATGGTTGAACAAGAAAAGTGTGTAGCAGGCTTAGGAAGCATATCTAACTACTTTAGATCAAACAAAATTAAATCTGCCTTTTTCTTTAGATTTTGCCATGGTAGACATGATGATGGCAACAAAACAAAATGCCACCTGCAGTGAAATCTGAACAGTCTGAAACTATAATTATATCCTATGGCGACAATAGTACTATTTTTAGTAGATGAGCATTTCCATGAATGGAGTCCTAAATCAAACAGTGACTTAAAGTATAATTCCAGCCTAGTTTTTTATATATTGTTTTTTAAATTTTGAATACAGTGTTTTTTTGTTTTATTGTCTGAGGCTTTTGTGGGAGAGTTTCTCTCATTTCCTGTTCTTATGACAATCGCACAGGCAGGAAGTGAACAGAAAATTTTTAACTGGGACAAAGACAATAGTAAATATTCCCCTACTCAATTTTTCCCCTCACATTCTATCATGGTGACACGTTGTAAATATGTCAAACCTCCCCAAAAGACAGTAGTAAAAACGGACTGTGGTTTTTTTCCACTATATCCAAAACGAAGAAATATTTTGACTCGAGATACACTTTAAAATAAATCTGTTAGCTGTTTTAACCCTTTAGAAATAAAGGTCCTGCTTAACTAAGATATCACAATATATGCACTATAACCTTTATTAATCCAAAAAAGGTTTTGTGTGCCCCCTGACATCTGAGCTAAGCCCTGGCCAACTCCCATTTACCCGTACAAAGATGCTGCTGCAGTGGCCAATAAAGGCACTTTCATTAGACTGGTATTTTAGGCCCTATTAAATTGAAACTAAATCAGTCATACAGATGGGTTAATATTTTTTTTTTCTAAAATAATAGACACCTTGAAATGTCGGTTAGGATATTTATTTATGTTTAATGCCCTTAGATCTTGTGCTTTAAATCCTGCAAAATGTTACACAAATACTTTCTATGCCATCACATCATTGTTGACTCAACAATAACAGTTGCTCATTTTACTTCAGATTTTCATTCCATGTACCTATACATATATCCATGTCTGTTACAGCTGAGGTTGGGGATTACGATCAGAAAGTGGATCTGGAGAATCTAAAAAAACACTCACTATGTACAGAGACAGCACAGTCTGGAAGAGCGGATATTGCAATACCACCACGAGCACATGTGAGTTATATTGTATCATTTTCATATTTTATATGATCATATTAATAACTGGATCTGTATTCACCAATGAAGCCTTATGATTATTTGGGATTTTTTCTTTTTTGTTAAATTATATAGGCATATCATCAGTATTTTGTTCTTATAACGTGTGTTGTTGGTATAATTTTCTCTTGCAGTGGCATGTCTCCAGCTGATGCTGATTTTCAGATTCTGGAGATTTCTAGAAGACTTGACCTGTATGGAACCCGCTTCCACCTTGCATCTGACCGGGAAGGTGCCAAAATTAATTTGTCAGTCTCTCATATGGGTATACTGGTTTTTCAGGTAATATTTTTAAGTTAATATACAAAAAAAAAAAAGTATGAAGAGTGTGTGTATATATGTGTGTGTGTATATGTGTGTGTATATATATATATATATATATATATATCTGCCGTGTTGTCTGTGTTAGCTACATACAGTACCATGTGGAATAAAGAGCTAAAGCCCCTTCTGTGGACCCAGCTTGCTAAAGAAGACATCCACAAACAGGAAAGTGAGGGCTACAGTTATGGGACTAGTCAAACAAGGAAGAAAGGACAATTTAAAAAAAATTAAGACAAAGTATTTCAAGTTGTATTCCAGGTATGGATTTTGCTGCATAGTTACATTGGTACAACTTGGCAGGAATGCTGTGGAAGCAGAGAATCACTGTAGTAGTCACCACCACTACAGTGATCACTGTCTTGGCCCCATGGAGAGCGGCTTCCCCTGCTGCATATTAACCACAGGGGGTCTCTTGCTCAGTCAGCAGGGGTGCCATTCACAGAAACCCTTGCATTTTTCTTAGGGTATTCAAGCTATTTGCTGATTAGATGAGGTGGGAAGGTGATGTCTTTCTCCATCTCATTCAATCAGGGAACAATTTGCATTAATTGAGAAAAATGCAATGCGTCTGTGGTTGGCACCCATGCTGAACAAGAAATCCCCTGTTTGCTATGCAGAAGGGCAGCCGCTTACCACGTGATGGGAAAGACCATGAGGGTCACTATATTAGTGGCGACTACTGCTGTGATTTTTCACTTCCACAATGGTTCCACAAGCTAGACCAATGTAACTATGCAATAATTTCCATACTTGTAAATCAACTTGAAAAGCTTTGTCTCCCTTTGTTTGAGGCTAGCCTTTCTTCTTTGTTTGTCTAGTCTCATCCTAGTCTTGCTTGCACAGTGGTTCCACAGATTTGGAATGTGCATAATAACACCTGGTCCATGCTGTACCAATATAACTATGCAATAAAAGCTATACCTGGAGTTCATTTTTAATGTAAGTGGACCTCTTTTGAAATGCATAAAAGAAATATAGGGTTTAATATGACTTAAGACCCAAATCCAGCATCCGTGTTAGAGAATATTAATGGTTTGGTTATATGGCTTCTTCTAGGCAGTATGATGCCTTAGATAATGCAGGCCACTTAATTCAGTTGCCTGGCTGTCATCAACAGGCCCCCCTTTAGTTTTCAGCACTACAGGGGATATCCTAACAGTGTTTCTTTGTCTTGTGTATAAGCAATGCCAGGAGTGAGAGTCAGACTGCCCCAGCAATGCACAGAAACACTGCTCATACCATTACTTTTATTTGTATATAAAAACTATCTCCTATAAGATATTTGTCTACTTTGCTGTGCATTTTAATATTGAAAAGCTGAATAAACATAAACTAAAAATCCGGAGGCTTGGTTGGCCAAGGAACAATACAGCACCTGCTAGCATACCTATAATCCTGGGTCCTACTGGGGAACTGCTTACTAGTCCTGGGGAGATTAATAATTGCTTTACCTCCTATAGAAACCAAAAAATTTGCCTCCTACTATCAGACAATTTAAAGCTTTTGGGCGGATTATACTGCTAGTGCATTGCAAGCATACCTATCTGAGGTTGACTTCCCGGTTCTTCTCAGTACCGGGGCAAATTAGATTCCCCTATCACTTTTGGAAAGAGGTTCAGGTGGCATTGAGTGTGCTTCAGTCGGGTAAGACTCCTGGCCCTGATGACATTCCTGTGGAATTTTATAAACAATATGCTGATGCTTTACTCCCTTGTATACATCCTGTGTTGCTTAAATGGTCGAGGGAAGATGTGATTCTAGAGTCAATGAGTGATGCGGTAATTGTGATTCCAAAGCCTGGGAAAACCCTGATCTCTGCTCCTCTTATCGTCCCATCTCTCTGCTGAGTGCGGATGCGTAGCTGCTTTCCAAGATTTTGGCCAATCGCCTCAATGCGGTAATTGCGGCTCTGGCCCACTCTGATCAGTCTGGCTATGTACCAGGTAGAGCAACAGATATCCGTATTAGACATCATCATACCCATATGGACCTGACTACACCAGACTGACCTGGAGTAGTGGTGTCACTGGACATCGAGAATGCATTTCCCTCAGTTGAGTGCGAGTATCTTTGGGCAACCCTTGTCCCTGTTGGGTTTGGCTCACGTTTCATCTCCTGGTTGCGAATTCACTATGCCTAGTACCTGGGTTAGGACTAATGGGACTCTCTCTCTGCACCGCGGGACACCCCAGGGTTGTCCTCTCTCACCCAGTACCTAGAGCCCCTTGCCATACGTCTTAGAACTGATGCTATGGTGCGAGGTATTGTAGTGGGCTCCATTGAGGAAAAAACTTTCCATCTACGTCGATGGCTCCTTTCTGTATCTATAGGGACGCGACTTCCTCCCTTTTATTCAACACTGGCTATCATTACCCACGTTTTTCGGGAATCCGTATCAACTGGGATAAATCAGTACTCTTTCTGCTTCATCTTTCTGTACCACGCTCAGATACGCAGACACCACTCTATTGGGTTGATTACTTACCTGGAGATCCAGGTGGGGGGGGGGGGGCAATAGCTGATTACCTGGAAAAGAATGTCACTCCTTTGGCTACCCATTTGCCACGGAAATGTGGCATTAGGCGATCCCTTCCTCTAACCCTAGTTGGTCAGATTAATATGCTAAAAAAATAATTTTTGTCTGTTTCGTAACACCCCAATCATCATTCCCAAAACAGTATTTCAGAAACTGGATGGTACTGTGACGTCATTTGTTTGGGCTGGGCGTACCCCTTGCCTGGCTATGTCGACTCTTCAATTGCCTCTGTCATGGGGAGACTTTGCCTCACCTAACTTCTGTTCATTCTACTGGGCAGTGGTCTTGGTGTGACCTTCGAGGCAGCCCTACTGTGCTCATATGCAGCTCTCAGTAACCTTGTTTTCGGGGTCCTAGAGCCCACCCCAATGTTATTGGCCCTATAAAAGTAGTTATCCAGGTTTGGGTTAAGCTAGAGCCATATATAGGGATCCTCTAAAGATTTCTTCTCATTTTCCTTTGTGGGGGAATCTGCAGCTCCCTCATCTCTATTCCCTCCTCGACCTGCAGTTGTGGGCCTTCCATGGGATAACAACTTTTAAACAGGTAATGGATGCTGGGAAAATATTAACGTTCCACACCCTTAAAGATACCTTTTCTTTGCCTAGCAGCATGAGGTTTAGATACTGGCAACTACAGCATGCCCTCAGGGTGCAATTCCCTGAGCCTATCCAACTGGAGTCTGACCCGATTGTGTGCAGGCAACTACAGCATGCCCTCAGGGTGCAATTCCCTGAGCCTATCCAACTGGAGTCTGACCCGATTGTGTGCAGGCAACTACAGCATGCCCTCAGGGTGCAATTCCCTGAGCCTATCTAACTGGAGTCTGACCCAATTGTGTGCCGTTTGGCATCTAAAGTGATTGGAAAGCCACGGTCTTCCCTGTACCTCCACTTATCTATAGCACATGATACTAAGTTGACCCACACCTTCAGTCGCTGGCATACAGATGTTCCTGAGCTTACTGAAGAGGACTGGGAGGTTTGTGCATCCACTTATGTTACCTCCATGATTTCTGCTGAAGATCGTTTCATACAATTGAAATTTCTTCACAGGGGCTATTACACTCCCCAACGTTTGGCCAATATCTACCCCCAGGAGAGCCCTATTCATACAAGATGCGTCACTTCTAATGGCATGTTCCTGCACATGGTGTGGTCCTGTCCTATTATCTGTCCATACTGGGAGTCCGCAGTTGGCACGATTAATGATGTATGCGATTTGGCTATAAAGACAGACCCGAAACTCTTATTGCTAAATTATATGGAGGATGTGGAAGTGGATAGATGTACTAAGCATTTTCTTACCTATGCCTGTTTTATGCAAGACATGAAATCCTGTTATGTTGGAAACTGCCCACACCTCCCACTGTGTTTACGTGGCGAAAGGCTGTGGATTCAGTTCTATCCCTCTACACAATTACTTCTGAAAGTAGAAAGAAATTTGACAAGATGCGGTCTACTTGGATAAACGCTTATTGTCAGGAGGCGGCAGAAGGCGAGTGAAAAACGTTTCTTGCCCCTTTTTCTCTCCATATTTTCTTCTTCCCTGCATCCCTTCCTCCCTTACGTTGGACCCTTCTGCAGATCATTTATTTCCCACCCCCTCTCCTGTTCTCCTGCCCATTGATATTTTGTAACAGCATAGCGTGGATTTTTCCTGTTTCTGTTTTGACATCTTGGTGTATGTGAAAGACCATATCCTGCTGTATATCTACTCTGCCTGTTCCATTATCCTTTATGGTCCTTTGGACTATTGACTGCTACTGTTGAACTTTGTAAAAAACTGCTATTGTATCATGTACCAGAATGCCAATTGTACTACCATGATCTTTGATTTGTCTGACACACCTTAATAAATGTTTCTGTTAAAAAAAAAAAAAAAAAAAATCTGGAGGCTGTTTTGATTCTTTAATTTTTTAGGCTTATTTAATTAAAGTGGTTCTAAAGTCAGAAGTTTTTTTTTTTTTACCTAATGCATTCTCTGCATTTAAGCTAAAAAAAAAATACATCTGCATGCAGTCACCCCCCCCCCCCCCCCTTATACTTGCCTGAGCCTGATCTTCGATCTTGATCAGCAATGTGTAAGAGAGCAGCAGCTCCCTCAGCTCTCTCACTGCTCAACGTCTCAGAGACAACAGCTGAAGCCATTGGCTCCTGCTGCTGTCAATCACAGCCAATGCAAGGAGCAGGGCCTCAGGAGCCAGGAGTGCCAGCGAGGGACCTGAGAAAAGGAGAATCAGAGTTGGTCTGTGTAAAAACAGGAGCAAGTACAACATGTTTGTTTTTTGAATTAAAAAAATGTGGGCATTTACAATCCCTTTTTAGTATAAAATGTTTTGTAATCAGATATTCTCCACCCCCATATAAAAGCGATAGACTGAAATCAGGTCGCCATGGATTACTACACTTTTATCTGATTAAATAAGTGTACACACAGGTGTGCACAAGAGCATTGCTGCATTCAGTATTGCCATCTAGTTATGATGATCAGTCTAGAGACAATTTAGCTATAAGATAACCATGAGTAGCTGTGTATGCTTCTATTAGTTCATTTCAGGCAGGTTTACCAGAGAGGCAAATGTTTTTAGTGACAATGTGTGCCTGTTGAGCACTGTCATATAATCGTACTTGAAAGCTGTATTTCGGACACTGGTCTGTATGCTTACTTGATCATTATATTTATAATCTTCAGCCTTGTAATGCGTTAAATGTGTATACATGCCTGTACAAAAATGTCTTGTATACTTGTTCCTTATTAACATCTACTGTATGTGTGTTTGATGCATGTTGCTTTGGACCCTTCAGAACAACTCAGAACAAGAAAAAACATTTTTGCATAATGAGGCACACCACAGTAGATAGTGTTTCATCTACGCATTTTTGTGTGCTAAAGGGCATTTTTTTTCCCACTGTATGTGCATTTGGGTGCCATTCAGAATCAATAGCTACACACAGCAACACCCATATAATCCTAGGTCACACAGGTAAATAGAGCCTGATGGTAACTGCTTTCTTTTCTGTGTCATTAATTTTATTCCCTTTTCACGTATACTCATTACTACTTTTCCGTTTTGACTTGCAGGGTAACACAAAAATTAATACATTTAACTGGTCAAAAATACGGAAGTTAAGCTTCAAAAGACGACGTTTCCTAATAAAGTTACACCCGGAGGTCCATGTGAGTACTGTAGAAATTGTCCCTTTCATCTCTAAAGGGGTATGCTTTGAGCTAAGAGAACTGGCTGAACAAAATTGTGTAAAGAGAAAATAGAGTTACTAGTGTCCATTTTTTTTCTATACCACAGTTCCCAATAATCTAAAAATTGAAAATATAACTATAAAATAATGAATATGTATTAATATTTGCACATTAACCCATAAAAAATCTTTATAAAAATTAGGTCAGTGTTTCGTGTGGCATAATAAGCCCACGCATTAATCACGTTTTGTTCTCAAGTGGGTTCTGGGAGGTGCCCATGTAATTAGACTTTATTCTTATTGTAATGTAAAATGTATGTCTAAAGAAATCAAAAATAATTAGTAATGCAAACTGAAATACACGATTCTAAATCTCTTTAGAATTCTATAGTGTTTAATAAGGAATGTTCAGATTCATGCAAGATGCCCTCTCTGTATGCATTTTCATTACAGAAAAAATTGCTTAGAACCCCCAGTGGTACACACTCAGCTATACGGTGACATTATTTATACTCCTCCCATACCAACTTGATTAAATGAACGCCTACAGCTACTCAATTATCTGATTATCAAATATTCTTTTCCCCTCTGAAAACTGACCCTTGATTTCACTTAAAGTAATATATATGATCACTTATTCTGCAATTAACTTTGTAAAAATAGATATTACAGGTTATAATTATATAGAATATATTACTGTAGTTCAGTAAGGGAAACCTGTGCTCCATTTTAAGCTTTTAGAAATTAAAATCTTGCCTAATTAAAAGTTAATGGCTGGAGGATATATACAATCTTCCAGAGGTTGCTTGGCGGATATTATAGGACCATATATTATCATGCTCATTTCTTATAGAGACTAATCAATTCAAAATTCTTATACCGTATATATATTTTATACCATCTAGACTAGAAATGTGGAAAATTCCCCGCTCTGCTGTTAGGACCTTTTTTTTTTTTTTTTTTTTTTTTTTTTTTTCACATGATATGGCAAAGTCCCATAATAAGATCCTTTAGGTCAGTTATAACCGGTTTTACTGCCTCTTTTCTGACCATAACAAATACCTTTCTTTGGCACCACTAAGGCTTTTGATTGCAGTAAGTGGGACCTCTCTTGAGAGGGTTATTGGATGAGTTTGGCTTGGTGTCTAATTTCAAGAAATGGGTACAACTTTTATATGAAACCCCAAATTAATACTAAGCTCTCTAGATTTTTACCTCTGGAGCAGGAAACTTGGCAGAGATGCCATGAGGACAACAAACTGTATTTTGGAGACGCCGAGCACCCATTGACTTTAATAGAAGGGGGGAAAATATGGGGAAAGCTAGGGAGTCCACAGAAATACAAAAAAGAATGATGAGGTGCCACCAGAGTAGTCTGGAAGGGTGCTACCTAAAACATACTGCAAAAACAAAGGAAAAAGAAGATAGGCTGCACACCTAAAACACTAACCTCAACGACATATTTATTTATAGCTGCCGGCTAAGCAATTTGGACAAGTTGTTGTGTCCGTGATCTGAAGAAGTCCTGGACATAGGCAGGATGAAACGTGTGGTTACTCATCCCCTCCATCTCCCCACGCCATCTCCATACCACATGGTGTTCCACTGGACCCTAACAGAACTTCACTAGTACGGACACGACGACTTGTCCAAATTGCTTAGCCGGAAGCTATTCTGGGATCACAGCAGGAGCCTCCACCGGATCTCGTTACTACATCGGGACTGTCAGCCGCAGTTTCACCTACAAAGACCTTGACACATCGTGCGTACTGGTGACCCTGTGTTGTCACCAAGGTCATATCAGCTTTGCAGGTTGCACAGGCTGGACGGGTCACACACATTGAAGTTGCTGTGGCAGGTACTCATATTCACTGCTGAATTACATCTGCTGGCTGTGTTGTGTCCTATATGTTGACTGAATTCCATTCAGAGGCTCGTATCCCATATACAGTACCGGTACTGCTCAGCAATTAGCCGGATTACAACTGCAGCTGCCTGTGACTACACATCGTTTGATTTTGGTAACATTTTTGGTCACAGTGGACTTTACTACTGGATTACACTATGGGGACACCCTCTTTTGCACTTGGTCTGGTCACACCAGACTATACCTGAATACATGTACTTGATTGTTGGATCGAACTATGAGGCTGTTGCCCTATATATTACATACATTACCCTCAGGCCTTTTATTGGGTTGTTATATATGCAGTTAGGTTGTGTCTTTTTTACTGTCTGGTTTATACTCCCTGATTTATTCCAGGTTCACACATAGGTGTATTACTAAATAGGACATATCATCTAGCGGGATCTGGAAGGTAGGGGGGCGATTATAGGATCAGTGGTTCACCTCCGCTCCTTTCTCTCCCCTTAGGGAGGTTGCGTGGGTGGGGTCCTGGGGGGGTCATTGTGGAAGGAGCACATTAGCCATCATAGGGGGTGTCTTTCTGTTTTTGTCTGTCCCTTTTTTTTTTTTTTTTTTGAAGGGGGGTTTGGTTTTTGTGTTGTGTGTGTGTATGGGGGGGGGGGGCAGTTGGGTTTTCCACTGGGGAGATATAAGTGTGACTAGTACCTAGGGGACACTCCTAGTCACCGGTGAGTGTCTGTCACAGGAAGATGCAATGTTTTTACTGTGCTTTTATAAATAAATATGCAGTTGAGGTTAGCCTTTTAGGTGTGCAGCCTATTTTCTTTTTCTTTGGTTTTTGCACCCATTGACTTTCCCTTATATTGAATTTTAATACATTTTGGTTCTTCTCCGGTCTCACCATCAACTGAGATAAATCCACCCTTGCTCCAGGTGATGCAGCTGTGCCAAACCTATTTGTTTATTTTTACTAGTAATGGTGGCGATGAGCGACTTGTTGCAGGACTGCAGTGGGCATTTTGACACTGGGAGGAAACTGCCACTGACATTCCTAGTGACACTTAAAAGCACTGTACTGACACTGGGTAAGAAGGGGTTAACACAGCAATGGGCAAACTACGGCCCCCGGGCCGTATACAGCCCGCGGAGCTAGGCTCCCGCTAGGCTCCTCTCACAGTCCGCTCTGAAGACCGGTGTAGCATGAAAATCTGTCTCCTATGAGGATCTGTCCCCCTCGACGTATCTGCGCATGTGCCGGAGATCGCCAATCGGCTGCTAATGCCTGAAACTGGCACATGCGCAGATACGTCGAGGGGGACAGATCCTCATAGGAAACAGATTTTCATGCTACACTGGAACGGCGCGGGAACACGGCGAGAGGAACGCGCGGAGCAAAGGTAAGTGAATTGACACAGGGGGGACTTGGGGACTTAATATGGGGGATGAATTAATATGGGGGATGAATTACTATATGGGGGATTAATTACTATATGGGGGATGAATTACTATATGGGGGATGAATTACTATATGGGGGATGAATTACTATATGGGGGATGAATTGCTATATGGGGGATGAATTGCTATATGGGGGATGAATTACTATATGGGGGATGAATTGCTATATGGGGGATGAATTGCTATATGGGGGATGAATTGCTATATGGGGGATGAATTACTATATGGGGGATGAATTACTATATGGGGGATGAATTACTATATGGGGGGATGATGAATTACTATATGGGGGATGAATTACTATATGGGGGATGAATTACTATATGGGGGATGAATTACTATATGGGGGATGAATTACTATATGGGGGATGAATTACTATATGGGGGAATTACTATGGGGGATGAATTGCTATATGGGGGATGAATTGCTATATGGGGGATGAATTGCTATATGGGGGATGAATTACTATATGGGGGATGAATTACTATAGGGGGGATGAATTACTATAGGGGGGATGAATTACTATGCTTACTATGGGGGAATATTACTATACTTACTATGGATGACACATACACATCATTCATCTACTCTTGGTCCGGCCCCCGGGTCCAATATATGAACCCATTGCGGCCCTCAAGTCAAAAAGTTTGCCCACCCCTGCGTTAACATCTGGGGTTGCTGTGCAGAGCAATACAAAGCAGCCTGTTCGTGCTGGCAGCAGAGAGATCTGTGTTTATATACAGACCTCTCCCCTGTCAGCTCCGCCGACTATCAGCGAGTACCAGCCGAGAATCCGTGGCCGGGATCCAGTGATTGACATGCCGATGAGCCAATAGCAGCGCAGGTAGGGAGCTCGCGCACCCCTACCCGGAAATGCGAAATCCCGTGTGTGTGTATATGTATATGTATGTATGTATATATATGTATATATATATATATATATATATATATATATATATATATATATATATATATATATATATATATATATATATATATATATATATATATATATATACGGGATTTTGCGCATACCTGCCACCCTGTAGCAGTACTTCTGCTATAGGACTGTCGGGAAGTGGTTAAGGAACTTAAAATACACCCCACAATAGCTTAGTCAATATCAGTGCAGATCTAATCCCAATTGTACAGGAAGTGTGCTGTCCCCGGGAGACCTCTTGCATGTGCTGTTCAGGTGTCCAAATATTTTCCAGTATTGGGATGATGTATTGGCTACCATCAGTAGAGGGTTTTTTTTTTTACACCTGATCCTAAATTTGTTCTTACCTAGGATGATGAATTGCAAGGAGATTCCTCCTGATGTACAGACACTATACACATTATTGTTTATAAACTTCTAGCTTCTAATCTTTTATCAGTAGACAATTGTTAATTACGTGTCTGAGTATTGGAGTTTCTTTGCCCCTTGCACCTCTTTCATGAGTACTGTTAACAGCTGGATTATATACTTTGACTTTATTCCCTAAAAAGTTCTTCAAAAATCTGTTTCAGAAAAACTACGTAATTTCCAGACACTCCAGCTAAACAATCAAAGTAAGGAAAGTTAAATAATTGCTTCTGGGTTTAGGGCGTGCGTGCCCCTGCTGATCCGTGCTGTGATTGGACACGAGCACGAGTTGGCAAGACTATTTCAACCAATAAGTTTGGCTGAAGTCAGCTGATCGACTGTGGCCATTCGCACACAGGGTTCTGTGTACTGTTAATAGTGATCTGGTGGTTTCTTGCAGGAAGGAAAAAATACAGGCAGATATTAAAGAAAAAGCAGCACACATTGTTAGGCACACAGTTAACCCCTTGATTTCCCCAGCCAGTGTCAGTACACTGGCAGTGTACAGTATTATCATTGATCACTGTATTAGTGTCACTAGCGATGTCAATGTCCGTTAGTGACCCTCCCAGAAAGTGTCTGTAAGTGCCAGTCCTTGATAGCTGCCATTCCAGTATAGCGTCTATAGCTGCGTAAATTCCAGTATATGTAACATAAGTTTGTAGACGCTATAAATTTCGCACAAACCAATTAATATACAATTATTGGGATTTTTTCTTTACCAAAGACGTAACAGAATACATTTTGGCCTAAATTATGACGTAATTTGATATTTTATTTTTTTTTTTAGTTTTTTATTGGCCGTGTTTCATAACTTCTTTTTTAAACATTTTATAACATTTTCCTTTTCAATATTTTCAGTCTTTTTTTGTTTATATCGCAAGAAAAACAGTGGTGAGCAAATATCACCAAAAAAAAAAAAAAAATGGTGTGAAAAAGAAGAATTTGCGTACAGTGTTGCATGACCATGCTATTGCCAGTAGCACAGTGCTGAATAGCAAAAAAAAAATTCTGGTAATGAAGGGGGTTAAAACCTTCTGGAGGTCAAGTGGTTAATCAATGTAATTTAAAAGTCATAGAGAGTAGGTTATTTTATTTTGCTGCCATTATATATTGGTGTCCTTTCTACAAAGTGTGTCTATTTCTTACCCATCCTTTCATCTAGGGACCCTATCAGGATGCCCTAGAGTTCCTTCTCCCTAGCCGGGATATGTGTAAGAGGTTCTGGAAAATATGTGTTGAGTATCACAGCTTCTTTCGACTCCAGGATCAGCCTAAGCCAAAATCCAAGCCAGTTCTTCTAAGCCGGGGTTCCTCGTTTCGGTACAGGTAAATATATGCTTTTTTTTTTTAACCAGCTTTTCTATAGCTGTGTTTTCACTTGTAACATAAAGCCTGGCAAGTGTCCTCCTGATAATGTGTTTTTTTTTTTAATACCATTGCTTGAGTTGTTTATTTAGCAGACATGAACGTTCTTAGTGAGAATAGGAAATGATTGACTGTTTTGCACAAGGACTTTCCCACCAGGCTGCCCATAAGTCCTGGTCATTGCCTGAGCATCATATAAGGAATTTTCACCCCAAACTGCCCTTAAAGAGCTACGAGGAGCGTTCAAGTCAAATGGGACTTTTAATTTTACAAGTATAAAAAAAGGGATGTTAGCGTGGCAGTGCTACATGCAGTAGTAAGTGTGTCATAGTACTGATAGGCAGCGCACATGTCATTGGCCAGTCCAGAGACCGGTAATCAAAATGGCAGACAACACTGTTGGTGTATGCATAGAACAGTGTATGGTGATGAAGTTTTTTGTGAACGAAGGCATAACCTGATGATCTATCTACAGAAGACTTAAAGCACAGTATGGTGATGAGACACTTAGCCACAGTAGGACATTTGAATGGTGTAAACGTTTCAAAGATGGCCGTACCTCCGTCGGTGACAATCCTGGCTGTGGTGGTTTCCAGCCCACAGCAGTCATTCTTGTGAACATTCAGTGCATGGAACTCTTGATCCTGGATAAGCAACGCATAACCTGTCCTGAAATTGCACAAGATACCAATATTTCTGTGAAAACAGTGAACACAATCATTCAAGAACATTTTCCAAAAAATTAGCACACTTTGGGTACCAAGACCGCTTTCTGCTTTTGACCAGCACAGAAGAGTTGAAGTCTGCACTGCATTGAAGGAGCGTTTTGACAGGGAAGGCAGTTGGTTTTTTTTGTTTTTTTTTTGGATCCCATCATTACATGTGACGAAACCTAGGCACATCATTTCACTTCGGAATCGAAACAAGCATCAAAGCAGTGTAAGCATGCGGACTCACCACCACCAAAAAAATTTTCAACAATTGCATCTGCAGTTAAAGTGATGGCAAGTGTTTTCTGGGACAAACGTGGTGTTATTCATGTAGATTTTCTACTCCGTCGTGCCACTATCAACAGTGAATATTACTGTCATTTTCCGAGTGATGTGCATACGTGTTTGCGGAAAAAAAACAGCCTGGTTTGATCCCAAGGGCGTCCTGTTTCTCCAGGACAACACACTTCTCACCGCAGTACATGCACATTACAGTTGTAGTGCTTTGGAGCAATGTGGTGCTTTATGAATAATAATGAAATGGGTGGTGTCTGACTCCCAGATATAATTATGACACAGTACCTCCAGCCGTTACAGCAAAATAACTTAATAAATAATATTAAATACAGACACCTTGATAAAATATACTACCACATGTAATTTTCCTGAATTCTTTTACCAATGTGATTTCTTCCCAAATATACAAATATCACCAATTTGATAAATTTATTTACAAAAAATATATATATATTTTAATAGAAACGAATTTACTGGTGATTTGTATTTCCTACACACGATCAAAAGAATAACCCACGATAAACTGCAAGTAGGTCAGTTTTAAAATGTATACAATAGCAAGGTAAAATAACAAAATCCTTGATTTATCGGCGATTTGCAAAATATATTTCAGTGTTAAGTATATTTTCCTACAACTCCCGCGGCTGAAGGGAATTCAGAAAACTACTTCTGAGATTATACGAACTGAGACACACTTCAAATGCGTCCTAAGAACAATGCGTTTACAGCATACCAATATAGAGAAAAAAAAACCCTCTATTCTACAACCAATACAACCCAATACGATAAATTAGTCTTCAGTTTCCCTATACATCATCCAGTCTTGATGGTTCAGCAAGATTTATACAATGACAAAATAATTATCAGTTTATATCATCATGCACAGTACCAGCACTACAGCTCAATAAAAAGTTATAAAGTTCTAGTAATGACTTTGATATGCATAAAATGTATGATACTTTGGCCACAATATCTCACCACTCCCAGGGATAGCGTTCTTTGAGATTTTTGGATGGAACAGTAGGCAGGTGAAAAGTGTTGTTCTTTAGCGAATAACAGTCTCTCCAACCAGCAAAAGTTCTCCTTTTTAGTAAGCCAAGTAAAAGGATCTTCTTTAGTAGGCAAAAGGGTTGTGTTTTTCTTTTTTTCTTTTTTTTTTCCCCCAAGCAAAAAGCCTTTTCTTTAGTAAGCAAAAGGGTTTTTTTTCCCCAAGCAAAAGGTCTTCTTCCATATAAATACTGTGGGGATCAATTGACTTGTGGATTGGACGATCAAAATACGCGGTTTATTTTTAGATGTTCTTTTACCTGTCCACTAGAGGCAATCGTGTTCCATGAATGAAGATTTGATTTTCTGCTTATGTACAATTTTAATTAGTATTGCTTCAAAGAAATATGTCATGATGAAATATTAAAGTGTCTTTCATAGATCCCCTTCTTGATAAAATTGGCGTTGGGTTAAACATTGTGAATCATTCTTAATAGATGAGAATTATATCTCTGCAGTTATCAATTATTATGAAAATGGTTGCTATTAAGGAGAATATTTCTGTAATTCATCATGGTACTTTATCAGATTATGCACATGTTATTTCAGTCCATCATATCATATACCTCATATCTTTGTGCACTCTGATATGTAGGTACGTATTGTTAGTAAATCATCTACCTATAATCACCATCCATAGCATACGTTTTGGAAACTGGTTGATATTGGTTAATACTTGATGTGATTTTGTAGTTGAGAAATGGATGTGGTTTTATCCTTTGACCATATCAAGAAAAGGAATGATCTATATGTAGATATATTTAGATATATATATATGTCTGTTTAAACCCTCCATACAGCTGCTCTCAACTTCCTTTTGCTTGGCGGCAGGGATCGAGGCTGCATGAAGGCGTCAGGCACTCTAAGGGAGTACAAAGTCAAAGGGCGCAGTCTGCCTACTGCTAAGGCACCTGTTCCACCTCTTTACCGTATGCAAATTTTCGCACCCAACCATGTTGTTGCAAAGTCTCGTTTTTGGTATTTTGTTTCTCAACTAAAAAAGATAAAGAAGGCATCTGGAAAGATTGCATACTGTGGACACGTTTTTGAGAAATCACCATTAAAAGTGAAGAACTTTGGCATCTGGCTGCGCTATGATTTCCATAGTGGAACACACAATATGTAGAGAGAGTATAGAGACTTGACTACAGCTGGTGCTGTGACACAGTGCTGCCGCGACATGGGTGCCCACCATCATGCTCGTGCCCATGCTATTCAGATCATGAAGGTTGAGGTGATACCTGCCCATCAAGCAGTTCCACGACTCAAAGATCAAGCTCCCTCTGCCACACAGGGTTCTGCATCGCCAGCACAAGTCCCACTTCACAACCAAGAGACCAAACACCTTCTTTTAAGCAAGTCAAAACTCACTCCTTGTTCTCTGGTCAAATAAAATTATTTGTGGAAAACAAGAACCTCCATACAGCTGAGTATATTGCTTAGTTGAGTTTTGGCTCTTGCATTTGAATGGAAGAATTTTTTGGTCTGTGTAAACACCTGAGGGTTGTAAGTGTGGCTTGATATATTCATCCTTGAGAGGGCTGTTGTCTATGTGGCTCATTGGCAAACACTCAGTTGATATCCCAGCAGATATTTGACTCTCCGTTGATAATGAGTGTTAAAGTTCCCGACACGTTTCATCTTCTTGTCTCATTTAACAATTGTAAAAATGTATTGGAAGCTTTAAACTTGGTTAATAAGGTTGTTTGGGGAGAACTAACCTCGTGGTCTCTCATCGTCTTTACATTTTATTTCTCTTACAATCCAGGTACATATCTGATGTGTCTTCACAATGAACATTTATGACATCTAGAAGTCTTTTGATCAATTCTGGCCAGTTTGTTTCTGATCAGGGCTGTGTGAAACCATTATCTTTTTATCAATTCTGAGAGTTGAATAGGACATTCAGACTCAGTCAACATAGCATTTGGTTAACATTACCTTGTCCTTGTGTGGCCACCTGGTTGGTCAACAATTGTTAGTGTCTCTTGTTTAAATGGTCTATTGTTAAAGGAGGCTTGGGAGACAATCTGTCTATTTGAAGTGTCTCATTGAGTTATATTCTGATATAACTTACGGATTTATATGCATGAAAGCCATAACACAGTAACTCGGCTGGGAGGTATTGCCACATCTCATTTACAACCTAAACCTTGCTCCGAGTGATTTCTACTGGTTTGGACCCCTAAAAGATTCTCGGAGGTCAGCATTTCAGAACTGATGTCGAAGTGAAGTGAAGCAGGCTGTCCTAGGATGGTTCACGCATACTGACAAATCTTTCTATGCTGAAACTTTCCAGGCATTCGTTAAATGCTGGAATAATTGTATAAATGTAGAAGGGGAGTATTTTGAAAAATAAATACAGTTTCCACTCCTTGAAATATTCTTTTATTATATAAGTTCAAAAGTTCTAGTTTGACTTGAACACCCCTCAATTTAATTGAATTATTTTATTTATTGTTTTCATGTTTAGAGCATAGAGGGGCTCAGTTTCTGTGTGGGGCATGACATTTATTTTTTACTAACAGCATTGATGCCTAGCGTTAATCTGATACAGCCATGACATACAGATCTGATTTGTTTATTAACAGTGTTATCGGGTACTGAAGCATTTGCTCCTTACTTAATAAGGGGATGAGGAAAAAGTGAATGCCAGTGGCAATAAGCTGCCCAACTTCTCAGGAAGATTTACTGCATGCTTTGAATTTTCCTGCATATAAGAAGATAACTGCTGAACTACCATACAGCTGTTTAGACCAGCGTTTCTCAACTGGGGTGCTGTGACAAAATCACTAATAACTTCCCCAACTAAGCCGGCATCTAGTAAAAGATTAAACTCTCCACCAGTTAAGCCTTTTTTTTTTTTTTTTTTAATTACAAGGGTGCCAGTCCACTCTCTCAAACATGCAAGCAGCTACTACAGGCACTCAGAAAGCTGTACTGACCGCCTGCCCACATCCTAGCAACCAATTACATCATCATTTGTTGCTAAGGGGCTGTCTGGGTGCCCACACAGCTTTCTGGGATGTGATGTCTCCCACTGCTCTGCCGTTGTAGCTTAGGATATATATATATATATATATATATATATATATATATATATATATATATATATATATATATATATATTATATTCTTCCAGACTGCTGACCTCTGTGTCCTCCTACAGTGCAGGACTTTCTAAATCAATTTTCTGGCCAGTGGGGGATTCCGCACATGAAATTCAAAGTCTGCCAGGTGAGAAGGTGTCTGAATCAGGCAGGCCAGTAGATCTGCATTTAAAAAAAAAAAAAAAAAAAATGCTATATGTACATATCCAGTATGTGTGTTCCTGACCCCTACACTCTCTACGGTCAGAGATGCTTTTTTAGGCTAGCAGGACTGTTTTTTTCAGGGCTCATTTACACTAGTAGTAAGGCATGTTGCTACTCTGAAAAGCAATTCATGCTCGGATCACTTTGCAGAGGCATTTGACAGGTGGAGAGGAGACGATCTGTCACCTCCTCACCACATGTTTTAGCCCCCTAAATGCAGTACCACTGTGCTGCAACCGCATGCAGTGCACTTGGTTGCAGCGTGGCCCCATTCATCAGCAATGCCTGCCAAACACAACAGGGGGATACTTCCTGCCATAACCACAAAGCATTGTGGCTACAGCATGTGTACAACCCTGGCTACTGCCTCTGCAAGTAAAGGGAGAGTAGTTGGGGGTGGTAAAAATATGGCTTGACCATATTGTTTTACCATCCCCCAACCTCATGTATGAATGAGCTCTTGGGTTAGGTTCCCATTATTGCTGGTTTTTGGCCGCATTTGCTAAGGCATGACGGCTCATTCATTTGAATTTTTAGATGCATGGGGGTGCCATTAAGAATGAATGGCAGCCCCATGCACCTGTAAAGAGCAGCATGTTTTAGCTGCGGGTGCAGGAACAGCCGCAATACCCGCAACCACACGCAGTGGTGTGAACCTAGCCTTAGAATGGGGTGCCTTGAGACTGAATATACTTTCAAAGGGTGCCATGACTGAAAAAAAGGTTGAGAAACACTGGTTTAGACTCAATAGGTGAGATGCAGCCTGCCCCATTCCATCCTGAACAGAGACGTCCATCTATAATGTCTTTATTTTGTACTGAAGGAAAGGTCATAGATAGTGTTTGCTTAGCTCTGAAGATTTATTTCATAACTTATCTTTTTTTTTTTTTTTTTTTTTTTTTTTAAAAGCGGTCGAACACAGAAGCAACTGATGGACTATGTACGAGACACCAGCATCAAAAGGCCACCATATGACAGGTCAGTACTTGGCTCTGATGTGTATGTGACTGGTTAGTGCTCCTGAGATTTTCAGCCCCTTTTTCTTTTACATTATTCTTTGTTAATTTTACCCCGTAGTTTCAACATAAATAACGCATTACTTTGTAAGTGTAAAAAAAATGCATATGGTGAAGGGTTACATATAGTTAGTCTGGCTGAAAAAAGACATCAGTCCATCCAGTTCAACCATAGAAAAAAAAAAAGTTTTAATCCTATACCCACAGTTGATCCAGAGGAAGGCAAAAAAAACCCAGCAAAGCACGATCCAATTTGCTCCTGCAGGGAAAATAATTCCTTCCTGATCCCCCGAGAGGCAATCAGATATTCCCTGGATCAACTTTACCTATAAATGTTAGTATCCAGTTATATTTTGTGTATCCAAGAAAGAATCCAGGCCTTTTTTTTTTTTTTTTTTTTTTTTTTTTTTTGAAGCAATCCACTGAGCTGGCCAGAACCAACTCTTGAGGGAGCCTATTCCACATTTTCACAGTTCTCACTGTGAAGAAACCTTTCCGTGTTTGGAGATTACATTTCTCTTCCTCCAGACGTAAAGAGTGCCCCTTTGTCCTCTGTGATGACCTCAGGGTGAATAGCTCTACACCAAGTTCACTATATGAACCACTGATGTATTTATACATGTTGATCATATCCCCCCTTAATCTTCTCTGCTCAGGAGAGAATAAATTCAGTTCATCTAATCTTCCCTCATAGCGGAGTTCCTCCATGCCTCTTATCAGTTTGGTTGCCCTCCTGTGTACTTTCTCCAGTTCCCCAATGTTCTTTTTGTGAATTGGTGCCCAAAACTGAACTGCATATTCCAGATGAGGTCTTATTAATGATTTGTACAGGGGTAATATGATATCTCTCTCTCTGGAGTCTATACCTCTTTTAATACAAGAGAGGATTTTGCTCGCTTTAGAAGCCGTAGTTTGGCATTGCATGCCATTATTAAGCTTGTGATCTACCAGAACCCCCAGATCCTTCTCCACAATTAATTCCCCCAGTTGTACCCCTGTCTCTTTTTCTATAATTGCCCATCTGTGACATCCAGCTTTTGTGTTGTGTGCTGCAGTAAAAATGTAAATTCTGCAATTACCCAACAATGTTGGCCAGCTTGAGTCTTGTCCCAAACAAGCAACTGTTTCTTAGGCTGAAAGAACAGCTGAGCTGAGACTGAAAGCGATCACAGTCTATTCCCTCAGTGCCATCCAGCTCCTGCACAGAAATTAATTGAAAAAGAAGGCTCAGGAGCAGTTGAGTAGCTGGCCCATATTTCTGATTGAATGCAGGGTTTTTTTCAATGTTTGGCTGAAAGTCGAAGACCCCTGAAGATTTAACATGAAATGACAATTTGAATTGGTTTAATGGCTAGTAGCTAAGCAAAATTATTTGCAATTTCTTTACTAACTACTAACCAAAAGTAATTCCATCCAAAACTGATATTTGCTATGTGTGGTCATCAGTAACCTGAACTATCTAAAGCTTATTGAATGTTTTGGAGACCTCCGTGATCAGATTTCCAAGCAGTAGTAATTTGTCTCCCACAAACCTTATTGAAGAGGTTACTCTCTTGGCTGTGGTTTTTCCAGTAATTTATTCTACGTTACGGAGCACTCTATCAGGAGAGAATAGCATCGTCATTTGGCATGTAATGGCCAGGGTAGGTGATTCTGATGCCAATATCCTCCCAGAAATCTGATTCCAGTCATACTGATAGCCATTTTGTACCAGTTTTGGAAGACTTCAAATAGTCCATACTAATGTGTTCTCTGTGGTTTTGATCTTTTCCAAATTTTGAGCAATCAGATTGTAAAAACTGGGCTATAACTCTTTCAGAAATGCCTTTTGACTTCCATTGTAGTGCTTTGAAATGATTTACTGAAGAATTACCATGTATAAATACCATGCCAGTGAGATACCAGGCTGCATGTTTTATAGCATCCTTGCAAAACTGAAATGTTTGTTTTGGGTAGCGTTGCCCTTTTTATTAGCATAACCTGTCCCTGCTATAATAGTTTCGTTTAAAGGGTTTCCACACCCAGCTCTTGATTTTGCCTCCCTGATTAGTAAGATGATGTGATGTGGTTTAAAAAGAAAAGCGAAATGGTACCTTCAGTTTGCAGGGTGAGCAGTCTTTTTGCTTAAGACAACTGTGCTGCAAGCCGGACCATTTAAAATGGCAACTAGGATTGTCCTGTAACCACATCAAGGTAATCTGTATGATTACACTCTTGATGTAGACTTGTAGTGGTGTAAGATTATTTTACAATTCAGGGCTAGTTAGATGAATACCAAGAGGCAAGGCAGATGGCCCTATAGGTTACAATTGAGGGTAAGAGTGCATGTTATGGCATTACTTGCATATCTGTAGACAGTAGAACTTATCTCTCATGTTGAGTCTCTTCAACATTGCTTGTATGCATTGTACCTGCTTGTGTTTTTAACCATTGGGCTTTGGTGTCAGTGGGATCCTCCTGACTGCATTGCTCTCTGTCCTGCAGGAGACACAGCAAACCCAGAGTGTCCCCTTGCAATGTGACTCCTGACTCTCCAAAGCAGGTGCGTGTAGATATACAGCACTGGGTGCCTCATGCTTTGCTGTCTCTCTTGCTTGCTTTTTCTGTTTTCTGTGGTTCCTTAGATCCCTGAGCTTTTTCCTTGCTTTGCTGCTTACTGGCTAATATTTGCTGCATTATCTTAGACCTTTCTTCTTTTTCTCATTAGCTTTTTTTTTTTTTTTTTTTGCTTACTGTATTGCTTGGACCTAGGTCAGCAAAACATGGGGGAGGGGTCTGGATAGCTTTTGATCTTGACAATGCTTTGTTTTCCTTTTGCACTGAAGTGAAATCTCAATCAATGTTATTTGCCCCACCACCTATCTTCTGGGAACTACAAAACACCACCTCTCTATATATTGGAAGTGAAGAGAGGAGGTGGTTTTCATAATCCAATTTAGGAGAGCGGCCTAGGGTGGCAATGCTACTAGTGAGTGCTGTCACTTTATGATGGAAAGTGTGTTACTGACAAGATTGCATGATACCGAGAGAAAAAGCCCCTAAAAAGCAAACTAATACAGACACTGCCTCTAAAGGCTAGCTGCAGTATGTTATATTTTTGTTTGTTGGGTTTAGATATACTTGAAAATCAGCCTAACATTAGACAACAACCAGATAGTAATACATTAAGCCCATGCTGGGCGACATGTGAAACCCTGGAGAAAGTGATGGGCCATTGGTGAAACATATTTGCCGACAGCCACTCTGAGCACTTCTAATAGGTTCATTTGAAATAGTCCGATTCCCCCCCCCCCCCCTTTTACTAGCTTATTATCTCCTGATCTCTATTATACTGCCAAAAGGACAGTTGGAAACCATGCATGTTGTTCCTACCTTGACATACCCTTTTCTTCATGTATTACAAGCAACACGCATATTTTATGTTTTGCTTAGTATGTACTTCTGTGACATGTACAAGTGTGCACTACTCTAATTGCACATGTAGGTACATTTATTTCATTTGGCTCGATCAGACTTGGTGTCTTAAGACCTGTTTCACCAGTAGGTACATCTACTCCGAAAAATAAAGTGACTAAATGGTCATACAGCAATACACAACAGAACCAATTGTATCTTAAGAGGCAGCATGCAGACTGTGAAACCTGGCTGAAATTCCTATATGTTTCCTTCCTCTGTTCATTATTTTATTTGCTGCATGAAATTGCTTTTGGTCTAGCCACATGTCATTATTTTATCAAAAGAGTGAGAACAACCCATATACTCTCATAGAGCATATTCACTGTGCTTAACATTACCAAGATAACTGGGGAATTCTCATAGTATGCTTTCTTAAATAGCCACCATGGACTTTTAATGTCACGTCTTGTTATAGTAGCTAGTGCAAAGGTAATGGATAAGGAAATTTGACTGCTGAAATCTCTCCTTAAAATTTATATGTGGTAATAACTATGCATCTAAATTCATACTTTTGTTCTATTATTGTTTCACATGACGATTAATCTTCAAGCCTTCCTCATCTTTTCAAGTTCATTCGCCATTACAAGGTCTTTCATCCCACCCTCTTCATATTTTTTTCCCTGCCTTTTTCCTTTTATTATGCATTTCTGCATTTGCAAATATCATGCTACTTTTACACTTATGATTAGTTGTTATTCAATAGTTTATATAGCCAAAGTTCAATAAACAATAATGTTGTTTGACATGTTCATAATTTCAATCTGCTGTTTTGTGTTTCCAGATCATCACTTTCACTGAGAGTTTGAAGACTCCTCCATTGCCTTCTCCTCTTACCCTGCCTCCTCAACCTGTATCCAACCCCCCTACCTCCTTTCCACAGAAAAGCATTACCAGAGTTGAAAATATTCCAGCTTCTCCATGGAAAGAAGAACCCACCAGAATACCAGAGACCACGGGGCTGCCAGTTCAATCGCCATTACAAGGTCTTTCATCCCACCCTATCCCTTCTTTTCACAGTAGACAGGATTCCATAGAAATCCTGGATTCAGAAAATGCTCACCACAGTGAAGATGTCAGGTTGTGGGTAACAGGTGTTCCTGATTCTCTTCTGCTTACTGAAGAGTTTATAGATGATGATCCAGCTGACATCTCCTTCAGTGGAGGAGCAGAGGTGTATAATTATGGGGGAAGAATGGTGGCATCTGACCATGAGGACATTCCACCAGAAGAGTATTATCTGGATGATGTGGATATAAGAGATTTCAATGGCAATACAAGGCCAACAGATGCTAGTGAATTATTTCAGGTGAAGGCTCAGGCTAGTCTTATGCAGAGTCTTCTTAGCCCATCAGAAAATGGCTCACTTCTCAACCACCGCTCAGAAAGTAGCTCTCTGCTCCATCATTCTGAAAGCAGTTCCCTTACCAACCTTAATGGTATTCCAAGCTTTTCGCGTTCTGAAAACCACTCCACTGCCAGCTCAATGATCAACTTTCCAGCCTGTTCTGTTCGGTCAGAATCCAGCTCTGCTCTCCAGTTTGGAGATATCTTGGACCAGCTTGAACAGCTTAGCTACCCCCCGACAACTACAGAGGACTCCAGCAGCTCTGATGGTGATTCTTGGGACTCCGAGGAAGAGACCCCACTTGACATCAACTTATTTTTCAGCAATCCACTGACACAGTATGCCAGTTTTAACCAACTTGGGATGCAGGATAAAAAGGGACCACCAGACATCTGATTCTTCATATTACAGTGTGTTAAGCAGATCAAGTGATCAGATAGAATGCAGAGGAGCCTTAGCTACAAATGTTTTGTAAATGGAGGGATCATTATCCCCAGGAATGTGTTGTTGGAGTGATTGGTTTACACTTTAAATATAATTTTATAGTTGAAAAAAATGGGAGACAACTGTAATTTGTTGACTCCATTGGCTATACGGGAAGGACAGTTAAGCACAGTATAATTTGTGATTTTTATATCTATACAATAATTGTATTGTACATATTCTGTCTTCTTTTCCTGATGGATGGCAGCGTTTAGGTAGCCATACCTAGGTATTCTTGTAAATATAAAATGCCATATCTCTGTGGCCATTTTCCTTTAGAACACTGAATATATTTTAAAAAGAATGTCACCATTACGTTTACTTGTATATGCCATTTTTGGCTCATTGATTTGTTTTGATTTTGCAGATAGTGCATTACGATCTTGTGCTCACTGCGTGTTGTCTTGTCATCACTAATCCTCTCCGTTACATTTCACTTTCTCTCTTGCATTGTCCTCACTATGCAACCAATTTTGTCTGTCATTGCTTCAAAATCTAATACCTTCACTAGTATCTTCATATTACTGCTTGGAAGTATAATACCTTCACTAGCTTTTTAAAGTTGCTACTTGGAACACTAAGGATTCATTCAAATAGCAGCTGGAGCACAGCCACTGGTATATGGTGTTAAGGCATCGGTGCCAATAAGCTGTGAACCGCACATTGCACAGGTTTTTTTTTTTCTGTGCACACTTTATTGAAATGATGTTTCATTAAAGTGGTAATAAATCTAAAAAACAAAATTGTAATATATTTCAGATTGCAAATCCTTAAATATGGTGCCTGCATTCTTTCTTTTTTTTTCTTTTTGCCTTGTAATCTTGCCAGTAACTTTGGGTTGATCCACTCTAATGGAGGAGCAACAGCGTCCCCTTTTGGATTGCAGCAGATTTAGATGGACTTGACTAACAAATTAAAGCCGAACTCCAGATAACATTTTTTTAAGCAGGTACGGCAGGTTTTTTTCTTCTCTTCTGAGGTAAAAGTTTTACCGAAAGAAATAAAGGCTGACCATTGGAAGCACTCCTGTCATTGATAAATGGTTTTTCACAACCCTCCAACTGACACTTTTGATGGACAGCTTGGTCTATTAAAGAAGTTAAAAAATAACAGACTTGCTAGTTGGTTCACCAGTTGAAACTAAAGGAAAAATCCTAAAAAAGGACCAATGCAGTCATCACATCAAGAAGTAATAAGCCGAAATATATACATTTATGGTTTAATGCTGCTTTAAGTACTATTGAGGGTTCTGTTGGATTCCAATATGACAGTGCATCACACCATCCTGTCCTGAAGTAAATTACTGCATGCTGTGCTTTTCTCAGTGCACCCCACCCAGCACAGTCCCAACACACCTGATATTAACAGTCCCTAATATCTTCACTTGTCTTTCCATGTTACTGCTTGGAACTGCAGGCTTCATGCACCCTGGGCATTTGCCCAGCTACTCTGTATGCCTTTACCCCTGACAGGACATGTTAACAGGCATTTAGGTGCATCAAGGGTTTTTCCTTCCTTTAAACGTTCCTTTTCTAATACACCTATAAACGCCTGTGTGTGCATGGTCACATAGGCTAACATAGAGGGGCATTTAGAGTCAAACTCTCTAAAAAGTGAAATTTTTTTTATGCCCAGTGTGCATGAAGCATCATATACTCTCTAATCTTTTCATGTTGCTGCTTGGAACTCTAAAACCTTAATATGTGTTTTCATGTCAGTGCTTGGAACTCATGATATATTCACTAGTCTTTTCACACTTCTATGCTTGGGGAACTTTTCACTGTCTGGAAGGATCCTGTGTTGAAATTTCAAAGTGCATTGCTAATGACCTGTATGATCTAGCTCAACTATAGCAGAGGTTTTTTTTTTCTGAATAGTACCTGTCGTGGGGTATTTTTTTATTAGCGGCTTCTCAGCAACCTATCGTTTGTGTCGCCAGTTATTCTTGAATTTAACATTTTTTACTGGTAATAACTAACTACTTTGCGCATGTAATTTAGATCTCTCTTTGACAGATGTTACTAACTTTTTCCGCAGCTAGAACATTCTGATATGTAGTCACCTTGATTCTATGTGTGCACTACAGTAAACCAGGTTTGATTTTTTTTTTTTTCCTTTGGTATGATGTTGTATTTGTGTTTTTTTTCTGAAATTAATGTGGATTGCCAACAGTTGCTATTGCTGGCTTTTCTTGAGCATCTAACGTTGCAGTGAATAGGCAAGTCTATTCACAGTCTCACAGCACTTGCATGCCGCCTTTATCTCTACAATTTGAATCACATGCTTACAGTTTATACAGCAGTAAACAAGATGGTAACACTACTCTGTGCAAACTATGATATGTAATAATGGCACTTGTCTACTGTGAGCTTCTCATGGAAGGTCCTTCATCATCTATTAATGTTGACAGTTTTTTCAAAAAGTACCCTTGACTGTGAGAATGTTCCCAATATCATGAGAGTTTAGCACATTTAACAAAGCTAAAGAAAGAAGCAATTTCTGTTAATCTGAATGGTGCATATAACACTAGGATATGTTCATTTTCCTTCAGAACTCCCTTAAACAGCATTATGTATTAATCACTATGTCTCATTATAAAGTAAGATTATTTAGGTTTTCAGACACTATGCCCAGTTCTGTGAGATAGTTGACTATATGTGCAGTATAGAACAAGGAGTATGCACCTGTGCACGTTCCTAGTCCTCACACCCGACTTTCAATTTCAATTATTGACAAGTTAACTGATACATACTGACTTTTCTAAATTTGGCCTGGGCATTTAAGCTTAAATTTTCCCTGGTCACAAAAGCTTTAAATTGGTGGTTATTTATATATTATGATAGTGAGGGACAGAATTTTTACAATGACTTTTAATAATAAAAAGCAGATGCATGCTTTAGAGAGAGAGAGAACACTAATAGAGAAGTTTTTAACTATTTGTTTTTGCTCTTTTTGGAGCTTGAATATATATATAGCTGGTCTTTTTATCTTTGCTTAGCTCCTGCTATTAAATTTAACCAGTGCGGCAGTACAAGGTACTGTAGCTTTTTAAAGGCATTCAGGATTTTCTTTTTACTGACCTGAGTACAGCCAAAAGATCTGAGTAGTTGAAGTGTTTCTGCACTTTGCTTTATGTGTTGTAAGAATAATGTGTAAAGCCAGGTACGCACGTAGTGTGCAAAAGTCGGCTGGGTGTATATGCTTCTCTGTTCAACAGAAGCTTGTCTAACGAAATTCTACTATCCCAAAGTCATGCTGGAAAATCCGTATTCAATCCACCAGTGGCTGCAGGTACTGATCAGCGTATTCTGGTGAGGTATCCCCATTGCTAAAATACAGTAGCACAGTGGGAGAGATCCCTGTATCACACATTGTGTTGTGTTGATGCAGGGATCTGTCTTTTTTATTTATTTTTTTTTTCATTCAAAAAAAAAATGTTTATATCCAGCTTTAGAACCACTGTAGATGAATACACTATATAGATTTTTTGATGCTTTAAAGGTAGTCTCCAGGCACAAAAACATTCATTCAGATATTCTTCAATACCCATAATGGATATAAATCCACTTTGTGCACACCGAATGCCTTTGCATAGCCAAAGTATTAGTGACATCAGCATTGTACTGTACCTGCTACAGGCTGCCAGCTGAAAACATTAGTACAGGAGGGGGCAGATGCAAGACTAGTCACTCTGCACAAGGAAAGAGGGCAAAGTTTCACACTGGACTGCTACAGATCTGTGAAAAATAACACAAAGTAAACCAAGCAGCCAAGTTAGCGTTAACATGGTTTATGCCTCAACAGGTTTCTGGCTGAAGATCGGCTGGTTCAACAGAAACTGGCCGACATTCAGCCAAGTCTGTACAGCAGCCTGTCCGACAGAAGCCGGCCTAATGTCCAGCTTCTGTTGAATGGCCATGCTGGAGAACCAGCATCCAACCGGCATTCTGTCAGTGCTTGCAGCCAATGGCTGTGAGCTCCATTGGCGGGAGGGGAGTAGAGATGTTCCCGCTATCAGAACACAATAGCTCAGTAAGGGAGATTGCTGTACTAATATTCCTTGTGTTAGTATAGTGATCTGTCAGTTTTACAGTGTGTATGCCTCATAAATCTCTAGTATAGCTCAACCAACCTAAGTGCAGCACTGTGTGTGAACACTACAGTGTCACACTTTCTTTGTGTGATTTAATATTGTATAAATTATGAAGCTGGCTAGGTGTTGGCAATACAATTTTCTATAGTGCTCCTTTTATAATCATTATGGATGTGTTTTACTTAATGGAATTTTGTAAATATGCTACACTATGGCGGAGCTCAGATGATACGGTTGATTATTATCAGGTACGATTTGCTCCCCAGGGGATTCACTGAGTCTGCTTTTATCTTCTAATTGTGCCTTGATAATGCTTACAAATTTCTGTGCAGTCATGTAACTAGCACACTGTACTGTACCTTATTAAGATGTCTGTACATTAAAT